GGTTCTTGTCGGATTAAATTCCCTCTTCATTTGTTGATTTGAATCAGTTAGGTTTACAGTAGCATAGTGATAAGTGGGCAATTGATTTAGTCTTTGCTACAATGCAAATTTTTCAATAATCAATCATTTACAGCATGTATTACGAGACTTTTAGCAGCTATTAACATACTCGAAGACAAAGTAAATTTTTTACAATGATAATGGCTTTTTATTTAACCATCTGATGTTAGATTTTTCAGCTTAAATTGAAATAACGAAATGTTACATTTTTATGATGAGTATTTATTTTCTCTTAGTAAGTGAAAACTTAGTCTTACAACGAAATCGTCTTACATGGAATGTAAAATATATGTATAATCGAGTAGAATTTATTGATTGTAAATTGTCGCTGTATGATAAAGTTATCTACCGACTATTGGAGTACATTGTCATTGAAATTATAAATGAATGCGAACGATGGAACTTGCGATTTGTACGAATATTAAGTAAGATATTAAAAAAAAAAAAAAAAAAAAACAGAAAAGAAAAGAAATGAAAAGAAAAAGATAAAGAAACAGAACAAAAATCTTTGAACGAAGGTATGAATTAATTTATCGTGCTAATGAGCTGCGCAACTATGTTGAAATAAGAATATTTTTAAATTATAGCAAATTAATGTTTCGTAAATGTTCGTGGAAGAAAATTAACAAATCGTACTTGTTTACCATTATTCTTTTGAGAAAGATAGAATTTTTTGCTTGTTTTTCTCTCTAGTATTGTAAAAAAAAAAAAAAAAACAAAATATCAATTTACTTGATAAGTCAATTAGTTTTTACCTCATTGTGCCTGTCAACTATAAAAATAAGACAAAAACTGTCTTCTTTAAGTGCCACTCGTTGGTTATTGTAGAATCCTATTTTGCGTTTCTCTCTTCCTTTCGACTCTATATCTTATCAATTACTTTGTAAATGGCCTGTAAGTCTTTCGGAATACATTCTTGAATATTCAATTACAAATTTGTTGCGAGACTCGAAACAAGACGATGACCTTAATCTTTAACGATTGACCTTGCAGTAAACATAACCAAGTAAAATTATTTGGAACTTTGTGAAAGTTATTTAATTTTTGTACGTTTCTCGTAGCGCAGCCAGTAAGATATAACACTTTAGTTGATTATTCGATATTTTTATTATTTTCAGAAATAAAGAAAATATACTTTTCCCCCGAGTAGTATAATTACAGAGATATCAAAACACGAAACGATTATTTTATTACTCGACATCGAATTTTTACTATTTTCTAATTATTTGTTAGATTGAAATTTTAATTGTATAATAACTTTTTTTTTTCTTTTTCTTTTTTTTTTGGTTGATAGCGTATATATCGTAGATCATACAAAGAAGAAATGATTATGAGACTTAGCTGTCACGCATATTTCATTTTTTGTACTTAATTTTTAATGTCCAAAAGTGTGAAACAATAATTTTTTTTTTTTTTTTATGCTAGATATATCGAGAAGATGAAATGTGTACGAATAAAAAGCTAATTACGAAGAGTCATAATTTAATGTCTTGTCAATATGAGTAGGAAGAACATTAAATCAGTGGCAAATGGATTTGCACAAAATTCGAGTAGTCGTTTATTATTTAAAAATTAACAAAACGTGTATTGCAAATTATTATAACAACTACACATTTATGAGATAATTGTTATTCAAGTTAATCCTGCGAAACTTTCTATCTCTCTATAATTTCGTAATTAGATATTGTGAATATTAAAGAAAACTATATAACCAAAGACAACAAATAGTTGGTTAAAATAATAATAATAATAATAAAAGAAAATAATAAAAATAAATAAATATCGTTATATAATTAAAAAAATTTTTTTTTTAATATTATTGTAATTATATTTTTATTTTTGCCAGATATTTTGCTTGATTTGAATACTTTTATGTGTAATGAGATTCGTAATGTAAAACAAGCTTTCATTATATTTTCTTCGATTAATTTCACATTTGTAATGAATGTGTATGCCGCCTTCCTTACCCTTCGAGTTTATAACACTCATCGTGAGCCAAATAACACACAAACATTATTCATCCTTTTTAAATCAATACCGTTTATAAAGTTTTTCTCATTTAAAAATGTGAGTATTAAATTTTGACTCGCGTGTTGTTAGGAAGAGCTAATGCATACATACACGTATATTTTGCATAATTACGAGGTCTACAGAGTCCGTATCTCGCTTTATAACTAATGCGTCGAGAGTTTACAAAAAAAGAAAAAAGAAAGAAAAAAAAAAAGCATTCGGATTATCATTAGGACGGAACGACAAACTATTTATTAGATAAATTCTTTTATAATTTCGTAATTTCTACGTTACTCCGAGTTTAAGATTGTACGTTTAGTCAAATACTTATAGCGGAACGTAGAGCCTTAGAGTCACACAAATAGAGCATTGACAAAGATATTTTTCAATTTCTAAATTATTACGTTCTTGCGATGTAGACTTGGATAGGAACGTTTAAATATATTCTTTAATGTATGTAACATTAAAACTTTCGCAAACTTTTATTATTCTCTAGGCTCTTTGCTATTGACTTTTATGTATAATAAATATGAGTGTGTAGTAATTGATTATTCGAACTTTAGTCAAATCGATAATTTTTCTTTTTTTTTTTTCGATGAACGACACTCATAGCTAACGATAAATTATATGTAACTTATTTATTATTAATGCAACAAACTCAAGTAGAATTATGATATCCTTTGTTGTTAATATGGTACTTACATTTTACCGATAAAGAATGATAATAAATAGCATAGAAAATATATAATCAATATGTAATTCTTATCAATACTTCACTGGATGTATTAAAGTAATAATTACGAATAACGCATTAACAGGAATGACATTGTTTAATGCAACAATGATTTGTAATGCAATATTAGCTAAAACGTGGCATTTATTATTAATAAGATATACAGTTACCATCATAATGAATTGAATAACGAATGAAAATATTGACACTAATAACCAACGAATGTCCCGAAAACTTATTCGTTTACATTTGAATTTTAAAAATACAATTGCTTACAATTCTTTGTTATTTAAGGATTTATATATCAATAAATATTCCATCGCCATATTCACGAAAATTGTAATTTTATTCGACTATTCAGCAATTTCAATAGATATTGTACAAAATTATCCATCCTTCAAGCATTAATCGAATTATATTCCTAGGCGCGCTTAAAATATATAAAAGGCATTGCTTCGACCATGTAATTAAAATTTTCTTACATTAAAAATACAGTTTGGGGTTTGAAACAATAATTTTTAATCATTATTTATTATCCATAAGCAAATTATCGAAGAGCCCTAACGGCAAATACATTTTTACTCTCTTCCCCGTAATTTGCTTCGTATCTTTGACACGTATCTATTATTATTATTATTATTATTATTATTATTATTATTATTATTATTATTTTTCTTTAATTTTTTATTATTTTTCATTTTAATATTCTTATGAAAATTTTATGAGAGTATTGCGTATGTTCTTGTGTGGTTCACGATCAGTTTCGCGTTTGACGTTTCAGTTGACGATAAAATGCACCGAAAAGCACATTTCTTCTATACGTTTTTTTCTATTTTTTCCCTCTTATTTCAGTACGGATTTATATTTCTCTATCTCTGCCGTCGATGTTACACGCAGAGAGAGAGAGAGAGAGAGAGAGAGAGAGAGAGAGAGAGAGAGAGAGAGAGAGAGATGCAGGACTAAAATATTCCATTTTTCATCGAGGACCGTCAAGTTCCATTTCATTTCTTTCGTGCTGTGTTTTAGTAACAATTATCCTTTGCATTTCAATTTTCTTTCCCATATGTCGTTTGTACTCAGTGCTTAACGTAACATCGTAATTTTTATGAAATCATTGTAGTAAAGTCCGAGTATGTTTTAACTTCATATCGCATGCTATGCTCTGCAAAAAGCAATCTCGTTTTCAACTTTCATATAAATTGTATATTTTCGTATTATTATTCAATTATTATTGTTCATTGTTCAATAATAATAATTGCCTAGTGGCACTTACCATATTAATAACTTCAATGATTTTTATAAAAATTCATAAAGCGAATATTCTTTTATTTAAATTTTATTTGCCTTAAATTACATTCTTACAACAACTATTTTTACAGACTTTATTTTATTAAATTAATACGCTATATGCGCCGACGTAATTTAAGAATACGACGTAAACTTGACTAATTTTCATAATGTGCATATTCTACTTATTGCGCTATGTTCTCCTAAGCAAAGCTCACTACGCCTCGTAAAACTCTTCTTTACGGCATATGCTGTTATAAATTAACAGCTTAAGTAAATTACGAAGTGCAAGGACTATTTTTTTTTTTTTTTTTTTTTTTTTTTAAGAAAATATACTAGTATTTAACCTTATAATACAGAAGGTACGTTTAATATATTAAGATGACATTTTTCAATATCTAAGTAAATATTATTCACTTGGAGAAGTGAAATGATTAGTGTGAATCTTGATGCTGCCTATTCCGACAAGATTGTGCATTATCATAATTTACCTTTACGAGCGCCTAATGATCATTAATATATAAATACGTATAAATTATATATATATATATATATATATATATATATGTATTTTTCGGAGCATAAATTAAAAAAATTCTAGAAGCAAATTCGCTGGACTTACTTTATCAAAGGTCTTTTTTCCCCTTTAACTATTAAGATTTTTTGTAATTGTTGTGGAATTAATATATATATATCTCGAAAAGCTAAAATCAATAAAACGGACTTTTTTTTAATTTTTTTATTTTTTTATAACTTTTTACAATTAATTGAATAATAGAGCTGTTAAACGGTGCACTTACGATTTAAAGATTTATTTTACAGATTTTTCATAATAGTTAAGGAGCTTTTTTAAGCAGTTAATATTCAAGAGAAATTTCTCATTTATAATGTTTCTTTCTTTTTGTTGCAGAAGCCGAACATGGATATGCTTCAACGATGCCGGTGCCGGACGACATACGGACGGTCACCAAGAGGCCAAAAACAAAAAAATCCCAAGGAAGCAGGTTCGTTCGTTCGTTCGTTTGTTTTCTGTTTTCACTCCCTCACCCCTTCCCTCCCTCTTCCCCATAGTGCTAATAATAAATTATTCGGTTATGATGTACTTGATTCGAGACGATATATAATTATGTTATGTGTAGCGATACACGTTAATTCGACAAAGAGAAAAAAAAGTCAGTGCTTGAAAAAAAATGTATGTATCAAGAATAGATAATGTATGGTCATTTATGTATAGATGAATTAGAGAGGGACAAGGGACAAGTAGAAGATTGTCTAAAGAAGACTCATCATTATAATAATGCACATTGCACTTGAAGTGTCTAATACACCTCAACCTCGAGTTTACAATATAATTGATAATTTTTAAATTCATATGATAATATAAAATTAAATGTTAGCAACATTTTGCGTTATTCACGTTAAAAACGACATTATTTAAGATTATGAAAATCTGATTATATTCCCTCATTATTTATTTTTCCATCGCTATTTTATCGTGAATATAACTGAAAAAGTGTTTATTTTATTGGCATAGTTTTTCTACTTCGTTTAATTGCCTTAAATGGAATACTCGAGAATAAGTGTGCGAATGAATACATGGGCATGGAGTTTTAAAGAATTAGTTCAACAAAAGTCTCTCAAAAAAGTCGAACAGAGATACGAATATAAAAAATGTTATAACTTTGTAATGAAATACGAGGGGTGAAGTAATTATAAAACTACATGAGCGATTTCATTATTTACATCATATAACGGGGACTCGCGCAACTCGTTAAAATCTGTATATACAATTAACAAACAGTAAAAGAGATTAAAAGTAATAGTAAGGAAATAAATTTTATTCCATTGTCGCTCGTTTGGCGATTCTATTTCAGCCTCGGTTTAACAACCCAAGATTTATCTTTTATCAATTTAAAAATTAATCAGTTTAACAGCCGATGGTCGAGGGAACTTTGAAATGAACCGAAATGAAAAGAAAAGATAAAGCAAACACGTCATTATTTTATTCAAATAGCTCGCATACACATATACTGTACAATCCATTCTTTCTAAATACAGGCGAGAGCAATTGTAATTGATAACCTTAATGTACCTATATCGCCTCAATAGTTGCCCGGATTAACGAACCTCTCTTAGGCTCTCCTTTTTGCATGCGCAGTGAAACGCGCAGAAATGAAGCGGTGGCCGTTACTCTCGTATGTTAACGCTAGAATGCGCTAATTTATGGCTCGCTGGAGGTGGTTGGTGGCGAGAGAGGTAGAGGGAAAAAAGTCTTTTGCCTCCCTTGCCCGCTTATGGCTGCGTGTGGGAAATCGAATTTTCGCATTATTGTCGTCGTCGATGTCATTGTCAACGGTGGCGAGCAGTTGCTTAGGAGAAAGCGTTTCCAAATACAAATTACATCGGCCTTTAAATAATCGTGATCCTTGTTGACTTGTGCTCATCTATCAATCACGCGCCTCATGAAATGGCCGCTATAGGTCGCATTTAAGGTCATTATGCGGCTTGGCATTTGCTATATGACGAATCGCAGCTCCAACTCCGAAATAATAGAAAACTCTTTTTCCGTCTGCTGGTCGATGCGGATGTTCGTCGGGGGAGGACTTTGACATAAGGTGTTTGGGGTTCGAGTCGATGTCGAATACCATTTGTTATTCTTACATTGGCATTAAATTGACAAGTTTGCCTTGGACATTAGGATTTAATTAATCTTGCGTAACCCTTATTATCCATAAGGCCATATGTATTTCATTCGGTTTTCAAAACGTTGCTTCGACATATTATTGTTCGTTGAATTTTTATTCGCAATTTATCGAGTAAACGGCCCATTTATATCGAAACCATTTTTACATTACAATCGAATATTATTTCTTAACAATCAAATGAAAAGTTATTCTTATCGAGACAATGATAAGTCACAGGTGCTAACAATTTTTTCTCTCGATATTGGCGTTGATTTTTTCAATTAAAAATATTACCAAGTCCAGTTTATGAAATAATTGTTTGCATTTCGTAACGCATATTAGGAAGGCTTAAGCAATGGAGTTAATCTGTGTAATGCATTGCGTGCGCATTTAATAACTTAAGGTGCAGTTGATAGATGAAACTTTTATTGCAATTGCGTTGTACGTGTTTCGTAAAACTCTCTTTATTCGCTTTTTTTTCTTTCTTTCTTTCTTTCATTTTTTTTTTTTTTTTTTTTTTTTTTTTTTTTTTTTTTTTTTTTTTTTTTTCCCAAATGGAATAGAATCGAAAGGTAGTTATGAGAGAGGGGATTAGCAATGATTACACATCTGCTATGAGTAAGCATTACTAATGTCTTTACCGTTGCATAACCTCAAAACTCCATATTGCGAATGTACTAGTAGTAATTTTATTCTAGCGAAAAGTGACTTTTCGTGTATAAAAGTTAAATTGAATTTTGCTTGAAATGTATTTAACGTCGAGCGCGCATAAACATCTCGGTCACTTAATAAATAATAAACGATGGTACTCCGATGCCTAATGAGATTCTCATTGTTGCATTAACGCGGAGCTATTGTCGAAGATACGGGCAGAAAGCCAGAGAGGGGTGGAGGTAAATAGATAGAGATAGATAGAGATAGATAGAGATAGATAGAGAGAGAGAGAGAGAGAGAGAGAGAGAGAGAGAGAGAACCTGGTGAGCGAAGATCGCAATCCAGAGATGAGGTAGAGGCGCTTTACCCCTCCTACTACCACCACCGTAGAGGGGCTGTATAGCATTTCTGTATCCGATTTCTCTTTGTCGCTGGTTGACCAACAAGCGATTACCGTCACCCGTTGACAGCCACGTGCAGCTGGTCAGCAGTGGGCTTGAGAATCCCATCGGTTGCGGGGCGGCGGGGCGGCGGAGGGTCCAGTTAGACAGCGGAACGGTGGAGGGGTTAGGGAGAAGGTAATTATAATCGATTGGAGAATCGCACTGCCGAATTGGAAAACCTTCGAAGCGGAAGTTTTCGATTTCAAGCCTGAAATGAGCGAATATCCCATCGTCTCGCAATCAAAACAATCTGTAGTTAAGCTTATTTAACTGTTGGGCAAATGTGTAGCGATACGCGCGTTTCTGATACAAGTAAAATCTAACCGAATACTTGCGACAAATCTTACTTGTATTTTGTTCGTTGCCGTGTGCCGTTTAAACGCTTCCCTCAGCTTCAACGATTCTACTCCAATGAATTTAAGTCGATTTTGTTCAGTTGTTGAATGGTGAATTATTATTTAGTAAGGACGAGTATACGTCTGAAATTTCCGGAATTTTTATTCTGTCTAGCAAACTTGAATTTTAACGAACTCGTTGGTTTAATAGCGCGTTCAATAATCGTACATTACAATGTTATTTATGGCAATTATATTTAGACATTTATATAATTCTAAACTGCGCGCGAGTATTTATTTTATTTCCACATTCCAAACTCTAATTATATTTACTTTCAATTTTTCAATCACTATTGTTTATTTGAATGGGCAAAGCTCTAAAATTTCGAAAGAAATTGAATTTGAATTTTAAGTGCCATCAATTCATTGTACCGGCGTAGAGAAATTCGCTTCTAATGTGATTTTCAGAATAGCAACCATTTAGTGCTTACTTGTCTGTTTCATCTGGGAATTTGTTTTTTTTTTTTTTTTTTTTTTTTTTTTTTTATAATCTTCTATTGAAAATTGAAACAGTATTTGATCAATTAGAAGTTACTTTTCGGCCAAAATAGTTAATTTAATTTTTTATTACAAAATGGTAATTTTATATATATAATTATATATAATAAAAAAAGAAAGTCGTAAATGTTACGTTATATTTTATCATTGTTTAATATTAGATAAAAATGACATAAAGTACTCATTAAAGGATAAGTATTGTTGTTGATAAATATTTCTCTTTCACATTTTTCACATATTTTACAGCTACAATGGCCTTTTGTATTACGCTAATTTTACGATTTATATTTTTATCATGGCAATTTGTTTAAATATTAGGCAAAGAGATTTCATTATATTATACTTGATATAAAAAATTTCGTTGTATCCGTAGTTTTTTAAACTTATTAACGTACTCAACTGCCGGAGTATGCCGATGAAATCTCATCTAAAATCTTTAATGTTTATGCACAAGAGTGAACCATGAATAAATCGTAATTGTGACATCCCGTAAGCTGTAATAAACAGTTGCATTGAATGATAATTGTCATGTTAGCATTATCATTTCACTTATTACCCCCCCCCCCCCCAACATAAAACTTATGTATATTTATGCTTTGTGTCAAATTACGATTTACTACATTAACATACGATCTTTCTATTGTTTACAGGACCACGCATAACGAGCTGGAAAAAAATAGGTAAGCGTTGCAATTTCAAGTTTTTATCCTAAATATCAATAATTAATAATACCAAATAATAAATAATACAAGTAGATTTATCTATTGAGATAGTTTCGAGGAAATGATTTTTTTTCTCATCCTTTCATAGATAAATTGTTCTACACTTTAGCCTAATTTTGATTTTGATAATAACGAAGCCGAATTCCAGTAATTGTAATGCGCGGATCGCTCTCATTTACGTTAATATTCGATGTCAGTCGTATATGAGGGAACGCTTGTAAGATAATAATGTTAAGAAAAGTCTCGTAGTCATGCAAGAATCCATACGACTCTTCTGTTGCCGATGGATGCCATTCGTGCGTTAAAAAAAAAAAATGTTGCACGTGTTTGATTTTAGACGAGTAGGTCTTACGTAAAATCACGCGGCCGGGGGTTCGATGTAGTGCGGGAGTAGAGCAACTAAAGGAAAAGAAAGAATGGCATAGCAGGAGAATAATCGTGTCGACCATTAGCATTGAGTACCTCTCTTTATGGAGACCGCTGTTATCGACTCCCGGGGCCATTTGTTTCGACACGAACAAGTATCCCTCCCCCTCCAACCTCCCACTCACCCATCATCGACAATCTTACGTGATTCTCCCCAGCACGCGGTATCTTACGACTTTTGAAGGCGACTGGGGGGGGGGGGTAAGATAATGAAAGCTCTAGCTGGGGATGTACAATGAGTCGAAAGCCAATATGAGAGACGATTTCGTAATGCACTTCCGGGTACGCGTTGATAATACCCTGTGCGCAATTTTCTTATTCGTCGTCTTAACCCTCTGCCACCTACGCGCAATCCATGAAACTGTTTTTTTTTTTTTTTTTTTTTTTTTTCAAGCCAGAGCTTACGAACTAGGCTTTATTTTTATTCGCCCAGAGGCGCTTTTCATCCATAGTCGTACGAGCTTTGGGTTTATGCTCGTCTGGAAATATATTTGAAAATTTTCTGGAAATAATAATCGTTGCAAAAGTCCGAAACTTATGCATTAATGGCACTTTTTGCGCTGCTCACGAATCAATATATCAATTACTGTTTTAGGTATAAGGTAACTTTTAATATATCTTGGGATGTAGGATTCCACGTTATAATGTGGCCATAGTAAATCTATAGGTATTTAAGGAGAGGAAAATTTGCCATTCAATTATAAGTATATTCAATTTATCGATAATAAAACTACAGGAATAATATGAAATACAACCTGACGCATGTAGAAGAGGATATAAAATTTTACGTCACGTAGTTCCAATAATATTCATACTTATTGCGGTGCAATTTTTGTAAAATCTTATTTAACCAATATAAATGTTTGTTTATATAAACATAAAATATACTATAATTTTAGTTCCGGTATATTTTATTTTGTAACTGAAACGTATACAATTTTACAAACTTATATTTCATGCATAGAGCCTATTATTACGAATTGTGCAACATATCAATGCGAAATTTTTTTTACTACGCATATTTTATTCCCCAGGCCGTTTAATAGTCTTTATCGTTAGTTTTATACTTAAAATCATAATATTTATTGTATGTTTGATTCTAGTACGTAATGGTTAGTCGAGCGACTCTGCAATTTCAATGTGTCGCTGTGTTAAATACATAAACGCCAAAATAAACATTTCTCGGGCTAATACGTAGTTTGTTGTGAGGGGGAGGGGGGAGGAAGAGGGGTAGGAAGCTAAAACTTTGGAAATAATACGAAAGAACGTAGGAATGTACGTACGTATGATAATATTGTAACTGCCTACTAGAAATAAAGATTTTGCTCTTTATTATTATTTTTTTTTTTTTTTTTTTTTTTTTTTTTTTTTTTTTTTTTGTTCGAGCATAATACCAATCTAATCTGTCTAATATGGCCTTTATGATTTTATTGTTAATAACGTGCATTTAAATGAAAAGTCTTTATTTTACGTGCTCGTATTGATGTAAAAATATTGTAAACGGAATGGATAATTGCATAGCTACTTATAATGTTTTGGCGATGGTAATTACATTATCTGTATGGCGCCATTGCGATACGTTCTAAAAAAAAAAAAAAAAAAAAAAAAAAAAAAAAAAATTAACAACTCGGCGTTACTTTAATATGTTGAAAAAGTTTCAATTGTCGTTTTAGAATTAAAAGAATTCTTTTACTCATTAAATGTCTTAAGTTACTTTGCAGCTCGTTCCGAAGAAGCTTAAAATCAACCCAAGTAAATTTACTTCTTATAAAGACTAAGATTGTTTATTGTTATTATTGTTATTATTGTTATTACATTATTCCATTATTTTTACAAATAGTGAGTTATGTAACGAAATAAGAATTTTTTCCGAAACGAGCGTGTCAATATTTCTGCCATTTATGGAGGGAAATTTTTACTGTTCTGGCATCTACAAAGTATGAATCATATCTAGACATAACAAAAACAAAAAAAAAAACAAAAACAAAAACTACGACGGAACAAACGCGCACTGAAAGTCGCACTCCTTACCAGGTACGCCCAAAGAACTACGAGCTCTTGAAGCTTTCTTTAGCAACGTGTGCGCTTGGTTTTTCCCCGTCCTCCTTCTCTTTTATCGTCTCCATCCGCCACCTCTTCGCTCTTCCCTTCTTTGCATCAACTACCAGACCACTGCACTTTCCGTGACTTTTCCAAGAATTCTAACGGAGTGACTTTATTTAAATTAAAGAGGAGGATGAAGAAATGAAGAGAGATGGAGAAGGATAGAGATAGAGTCTTTGTGCGTGGGGGCGCTCTCGCGCGTGTGTGCGAAGAGAGCGAGTATCGGAGTAAGCGGAGGGGAAAACTAAGAGAGAGAGAGAGAGAGAGAGAGAGAGGAGAAAACTTCGCTTATTACTTCCTCGAGTTCGAGTGTCTCGCGTTACTTTTGCCTTTCTTTTGCCCCGCGCTCGCGTTTTACAAAACTTTTAATTGACTCTGAAACGGCAAAAATGCTGTAAATTAAGCCTTTATTGTTTGAGGCGCTTAACCGATTCCGACGAGAGCGTTGAGCCCGTATTTACGTGTCGACATTTATTTTTTCCTCGCTGCAGACGGAAAGATCTATGTTTCTGTTGTTTATTGGTGTTTGTCCGCGGGAGGGGGTAGATGGAGAAGTTCGCTCGTTAGCTTCCTTCACTTTTTTTTTTTATTTTTAATATCAATACTCTCCATTCGGCAAAACTTAGCCATTACATTCATAGTGAGTGATATCTTTATTATAGAGTCGAATATTTCACTAACGCTCCCCCCTCCACTCCCCATCCCTCCCCTACCCACCCTCGACGACTTTATAAATAATGATCGTTGACAAGAAAAATATTCGTCCGCGGACTAGTTTAAAGTATAAAAATGAGGTCAATTGATGAAATACATGGTTTCAAAATTTTGTTGGAAAACTTATATATAATAAAGTTTTCTTTCCTATGATTATCATATTCATACTGCAAGATATCGACGAGAATATCGTCTTGTACTTTTCATGTAAAACTTCCCTTTATTTCTATTTCAAACTTATCGCATAATTATAAAAGGATTGGTATGTCAAATATCAATTGCTTTAATTAATAAAAGCGAGAGGAGGTAATAATTAATCGAGTGCAGTTATAATATGCCGGTAACCAGATAAGTTAAACAAGATTATCGTGCTGCTTCGATTTCTCTCGGTTAAGAACTTGAATATTTCTTGTATTCATAAATTAAGAGCTTCTTCTTAACTACATTCAATGGTGAAGATAATTAAATGATACTCGATAAAAAAAGTTTATTTGTGGTTTTTAGAAAAGCTCTATTAAAAAAAAAAAAAAAAAAAAAAAAAAAAAAAAAAAAAAAACAAAATCCTTAAATACATTTCTGATAAATTATTCATTTGCTAAAGTTGAAAAGCTACAAAATAATGCAAGAACCTGTCTTTCCTTCTTACTTACGTAATGTAATGAGCTATGAAACGAATTCCTATAATTATAATTAAATTATAATACAATTTAATCATGCAATTCACATTCAGCTCAGTTTCAATACAATTAATGCGTACGAATTTAGAGTATAAGAATTATGAGATAGAAAGTTCGTATTTTTTTTTATCTAATTTCATTCCAAAGTCTTTCAATTTTATGGCTTTTATGGTTTTGTAAAAAGTATTTTAAAAATACTTTATAAAACATTTAAGAAAAAAAAAATTTAGCAAATAGCAAAGCTTATTAAACGAAAGAGTTAATAATTTTTAATTAAATAATGACAAAAATATCATTTTAATACATGTAAAAAAAAATTTTTTTTCTTTTTATAATAAACAGATTTCCAAGTCATTATGCAACTATAAGCCAGCAAACCCAATAATGTATATGAGCAAATAAGCATATGAAATAAACACGTTAGGCAAAAGAAAAAAGAAAAAAGAAAAAATGGAGGATACGAATCACCACAGTGTACTAATCTGGGGCTACCGAAAATGATTATTATTTAACTTTCAAAAGCCATAGAGTTTTTATGGAAAAGTTTGGTGCTTAAGCAAGTACTTAAAAACTTCTTCTTTTTTTTTTTTTTTTTTTTTTTTAAATCTCTCGTTATTTCTTAGGTACTAGTAGATTACGGAAGACATTTCAAGTGGACGCCTGAAACTCACGACTAAATAAATTTTTTCGAAAGAAAAGTGTCGTTTATTAAAATATACCATATGTATTTTAATAATTATCGTTTCACAATTACAAGCCGGCTCTCTTAAAAAAAAAAAGTTCATATTAATTTAAATAACCAGACACGCAGACGCGCGTTTAGTCACTAATACATTTATTTGTTAATAGGTATTATTCTCAGTAGTGGCGGAGATAATTGAAATGTTTATGAAATAATTGTCTTACAAATTGGATAATAGGAGTTTGGAGTGCAAAGTCGATGAACGCAGGCGGCGCAATGGAGGTTTCCTAAGTTCTCCATATACTTGCATAAGAGCGGCAAAATATTATAATTAACAGGATGTATAACTTTTTAAG